AAATTATGTTTTCTCATCTAATCTAAAAAGTCAGTCAGCGAGGCAGCCCGGCAGCCAGCCAGCCAACGAGACTATTGACCGACTTTATCACTTTGCAAATGATGGTGTTGTTGTTTTGATTGTTAGTGCGATTATCAATCGCACTCCCTTCCGAATCAAAATTGGATCGTGTGCCGTCGCCAGTTTAGTTTTTTGTTGCCATTCGAAGATGAGTTCGAGCGAGCGGTAGCGCTATAATCTTGTGGGAATTTTTTCGTTTTTTTTTTTTTTTTGAATTTCATTCAAAACAAATGTGGGAAATAAAAAAATTAGGAAAAGAAAAAAATATCAACAACAACAAAAAACCCTACGATGCTATTCAAAGTCAATGTCATTGAGTGTAGAATAGATTTTCAAAGCAAAAAAAAATAAAAAAATGCAAACAAAGTGAAAATAAAGAAATATTACGAAATGAAGGCTAATTTATAATTCAATTTTTGTCCCCCGCAGATATAGAACGCGAAATTTTAATTTCTTGTTTGTTTATAAAAATATATGTGTTTTCCTTGTTGTTGTCTCGATAGAAAGTGAAATGAACAAAACACAAATCAAATTCAAATTCAAATCATAACAAAGAAATCTACTTCAAATCGAATTGTGCCTCTTAATAAATACTGCTTTATTTACTTCTTATAGCTAACGCCAATATTAATAATAACAACAACAAAAAAATAATGTGATTTTTCAAATTTTTTGGTTTTGTGCAAAAAAAAAAACGAATATTTTTTGTTTAAAAAACAACCCTCTTTTTATTTTTAAATAAATAAAAAACAATTATTTAACAAATATGAGAAAATTATTATTGTAAGTTGTGCATGATGAAGATTTTTTTGGAAATTTAATAAAAAAAAATTAAGAAAAAAAATTGGTGGTATTGGTTTTTAAAAAATGTTGTAAAAAACAAGTAAAAAAGGTGAATACCCTCCACCATTTGGAATGAACTTGGCAATTCTAAAAAACAGTGTTGACTTGTTTGTTCGGGATACCATAGTATTTTGTTGATGCAAAATGGTCAGGCTTAATCCCTTTATTGTTGTTTTTATAAAAAAAAAGTTTGTTTATTAGTGGAGAACGATTGTAATGTTTACCAGGGGGTAAGGCAGGGAATACCTAGGTTTCGGAAAGAGCCACCAATCCTCATCAGTTCTCTTGTTTTTTGTCTTGGATATTCTTCCCAGAAGTTATTTTAAAAATAACTTCTATAACAAAAAAAAAACTTTTTTACCCCAGTGACGAGATTGTAAGCTCAATAGAAGAGGAACCAAAGAATTGCATAAAACTAAAATTCTTTTGGAAACTCTTCTAAATCTTACAATCGCACTTATAAACATCTTGTTATGCTTTCGTTTTAGCATACCCATGAGTTGACCGTACCTTGTCTATTAATAGAAGAGTGCTGGCTTGTTTGTTCGGGATACTATAGTATTTTGTTGTTGCAAAATGGTCAGGTTTAATCCCTTTATTGTTGTTTTTATAAAAAAAACAATGAAATCCGTTAAAAATTCTGTTTAAATCTGAAAAATACCGAATGTAGCTGTTATATTAGGGTCTATACGACGACATGGACCAATATTACAATTCAAATGCGAAACTTAAAAAAATCGGTGAATAATGTCGCTAAAACCATCAAAATACCAAATATTGGGAGGTACCGTTATATGGGGCTTTACGAAGACGTGGACATACAATCTCCTGTCATAGGCTGTAGTATCCTTTACGAACTTCAAATAGCAAATTTGAAACAATTCCGATGAATAATGTCGCTTAATTCATCAAAATACCGAATATCGGGAGCTACCGTTATATGGGGGCTATACAAAGATGTGAACCTGCATAGAAAAATGTTTGTCATAGGCTGTAGTAACCATTACGAACTTCAAATACGAAATTTGGAACGATTCCGGTGATAACAACAGTCCTATGCAATTTTTTTTATAAAATCCGCATTCAGAATACCAATTATCCTTGGCAAAATTTCTTTAACAAATCTACGTTTGCAGGACTAATAGTACTTGTAAAAAATCCACGTTATGGGCCTCATAGTACTTAGCAAAAATTCTTTAAAAATCCACTTTTATGAAACTGATAGTCTCTGAAAAGAATTGTTTAAAAATTCACTGAAAGTTTTTGAAAAAATTCTCTAAAACACCCAAGTTTCTGCTTTGCAAAATTCCTTAATAAATCGACGTTTCAATAACTATAAATTCTTGGAAAAAATCGTTAAGAGTCCATGTTTTGAGGACTGATAGTCCTTGACAAAAATTCTTTAAAAATTCCACGTTTAAAGGACTGGAAAGAAATCTTTAAAAATCTATGGTTTAAGTATTGATAGTCCTTGGCAAAAATTCTTTAAAAAATCCACGTTTGAAAGACTGATTATCCTTGGAAAAAAATCTTTAAAAATTTATGGTTTGAGGATTGATAGTCTTGGGCAAAAATTCTTTAAATAAATCTACGTTTGGAGGACAAATAGTACTTATAAACAAATCTTAAAAAATCCAGGTTTGGAGGAGTATTATTCCTTTGAAAAAAATTCTTAAAAAATCCACGTTTGAAAAACTGATTATCCATAGAAAAAAAATCTTTAAAAAATCCACGTTTGAAGAACTGGTTATCCATAGAAAAAAAATCTTTAAAAAATCCACGTTTGAAAGACTGATTATCCTTGGAAAACATCTTTAAAAATTTATGGTTTGAGGATTGATGGTCTTGGGCAAAAATTCCTTAAATAAATCTACGTTTGGAGTACAAATAGTCCTTGTAAACAAATCTTAAAAAATCCAGGTTTGGAGGAGTATTATTCCTTTGAAAAAAATTCTTAAAAAATCCACGTTTGAAGAACTGGTTATCCATAGAAAAAAAATCTTTAAAAAATCCACGTTTGAAGAACTGGTTATCCATAGAAAAAAAATCTTTAAAAAATTCACGTTTGAAGAACTGATTATCCATGAAAAAAAAATCTTTAAAAATCCACGTTTTGAGAACTGATAGTCCTTGCAAAAATTATTTAGAAAAATCACGTTTGAAGGACTGCTTTTCCTTGGAAAAAATCTTTAAATATCCAATTTTTGAAGACCTATAGTTTGAAAGACTGCTTATCTTTGGAAACATATCTTCAAATATCCAAGTTTTAAAGACTAATAGTCCTTGGCAAAAATTCTTTACAAAATCAAGTTTGAAGTACTTATTATCCTTGGAAAAAAATCGTTAAAAATCCATGTTTTGAGGACTGATAGTCCTGTGCAAAAATTCTTAAAAAATCCACATTCGAAGGACGATTATCCTGGGAAAAAAAACTTTAAAAATCCATTTTTTAAGGACTGATAGTCCTTGCAAAAATCCTTTACAAAATGCACATTTGAAGGACTATTATCCTTGGAAAAAAATCTTTAAAAATCCATATTTTGAGAACTGATAGTCCTTGGCAAAAATTCTTTAAATAAATCTACGTTTGAAGGACTGATAGTCCTTTGCAAAGAAAGATAGTCCTTTGAAGAAGTGACTATCAATGGAAAAGAATCTTTAAAAATCCATGTTTTGAGGATTGATAGTCCTTGGAAAAAATTCTTTAAAAAATAAAAAAAAATCAAATATAAAGGACGATTATCTTTGGAAAAAATCTTTAAAAATCCACGTTTTGAGGACTGATAGTCCTTGCAAAAAATTATTTATAAAAATCACGTTGGAAGGACTGCTTATCCTTGGAAAAAATCTTTAAATATCCAAGTTTTGAATACTAATAGTCCTTGGCAAAAATTCTTTAAAAAATCTACTTTTGGAGGACAAATAGTACTTGTAAAAAATCTACGTTCGAGGGACTGATAGTACAAATCAACAATTCTTTAAAACATCCACTTTTGTCTAACTGTTAGTCCTTGGAAAAAAATCTTTAAAAATCCACGTTTGGAGGACTGTTAGTCCTTGGAAAAAAAATTTAAAAATCCACGTTTGGAGGACTGTTAGTCCTTGGAAAAAAATCTTTAAAAATCCACGTTTGGAGGACTGTTAGTCCTTGGAAAAAAATTTTAAAAATCCACGTTTGGAGGACTGTTAGTCCTTGGAAAAAAATTTTAAAAATCCACGTTTGGAGGACTGTTAGTCCTTGGAAAAAAATCTTAAAAAATCCACGTTTGGAGGACTCTTAGTCCTTGGAAAAAATCTTTAAAAATCCACGTTTGGAGGACTGTTAGTCCTTGGAAAAAAATCTTTAAAAAATCCACGTTTGGAGGACTGATAGTCCTTGGAAAAAAATCTTTAAAAAATCCATGTTTGGAGGACTGATTGTCCTTGGAAAAAATGCTGAAAAATAACCAAGTTTGTGCTTTGAAAAAAATCCTTAAAAAATTGCACATTTAAAGGACAAATTGTCCTTTGCAAAAAATTCTTAAAAAAAAAACTTTTGTGTGACTTATATTTAAAAATATAGTTAAAAAATCCTCAGAAAAAATCTTTTAAAGAATCCTAGTAGTCTGTGGAAAATTTTTTCAAAAAATCTCAATTTGTGGGACTGCTATTTGCATTTCTTCCCCCGGGCCTGTAAATTTCGATTATATGCCAGTTAGTCTAAATAATGTAATTTAAGTTAAACTTCCAAGTTTTTTTTTTATAAATGGAAGAACTTTAAGAAATCTTCGATAGTTTACAAATCTTCCATTTGTCGTTTAATGGCAAAATGTTCCGGAAGAAGATGTTGAATTCAGGTTCTCTATGGATTTCTATGGATGCGAGCCTTTTTTAGGATTTTTAGATGAAGGCACCCCTTAAAGTTTTCTGAAAATTAAAATCTCTCAAATTTTGCATCTCTTAGGGCCTTTACTGTGGATAGAAGATCTTCCATTGCTGTTGGTTCTTCATGTATACTATTTTTAATAGGCTAAGTTTTGACCGAATTTTTAAAATCCACACAGATAAGCATCTGTAAATGTTTATTTTTCCATTATTATATATTTTTATTCGTGCTATTACAAAACATTATATTTTTTCCATTTATTGTGGTTCTGCCTTTAGCTTATGAGATATCAAAAAGAAACCAAGTAATTTCATCAGTAGCGCCTTAAAGTATGCAACAACATTTGTTCGAACAATAAATACCCACGTACATAATTTTGAGTGTCCTCTCAATTGCCCAAACGCACATCAATGTTATCGGCAACATTGTCTGTGGCACTGGTTGTGGTTTCTGGCAGTAGCTTTTCGGTGGCTACACTGTCCTTTGGGTCATCTTTCTTCTCCTCACTTTCATTTACCTCCGGCTTGGAATGACCATGTGTTCTACGATGATGCCAATTTCCATGATGACCACGCCATCTTCTGTGTGTTCCATAATATTCTTCATCACTATCAGCCTCCACATCCTTTTCATTTAATGGATTCTCAGCTGGATTTTCAGATTTGCCGCCATGACCATGACGGTAGTGGTGGCCATGCCCGTAACGTCTCCTGTGGAACCCCTGATATGATCCATTGGCCATCTCGTGGACATTTGTTTCATCATTGTTTTCCATTTTAGATACATCGTGTTGTCGCCTATGATAATGGCGACCACCCCCATGACGGCGATAATGATGACCCCTGTGAGAGACCTGATCTTCCTTATCGCTGCCTTCATTGGATTCGGTTTTATTTTTAGCCAGCTCATCATCAGCAGCATCTTTTGCCATATCAGGTTCATGGTGATGGTATCTGTGGTGATAACGACCACCCCGATGAAAATGATGACCGCTGCGATGTTTCTGATCCACTTCACCTTCATTACTGGAGCTTCCATCCAGTTTTTCCTCTTCTTCCTCTACGTGATTCGGGGCCATTGAACGCCTTGAATGCCCCAAGCGACGACTCCAATAATGATGACGACCTGTCTTATGTTCTCCAGACTTTTCTACACCTTCACCTTCAGTAACGTTAGGTAGAGCTTCTTTGTTCGCCACTTCAATGGGCCCTTCTGTCATGAGAAGTGGTTGTGACTTATCTGCAGCAGCAGCAGCAGCTCTATGCAAGCCACGATGGTGGGAATTTTTCAGATGTGACCTATCATAGTGGTTGACATAATAGCCATAGGGTCCCTGGAATTGATGGCGGCGATGACGGATAAACGATCCACGATGGCGATGAAGTCCATGCAGGCTACCATGTCCAGATTTCGCACCATGGTGATCCCCAATGTGGCGCCTGGCCTGGCTTATCACAATCAGGCCGAGCAGCAAACAGAGAATGTGGAGGATTCTCATTTTATGTTTGTATTAAATTCTGGTATATCAAAATCGTATTGCAATTCAAATCTGTTGGTTTTCAAAATATTTTTTTTAATATTCAAATTCTTTATCAATTGAAAATAAGGAATCACAAAGCGGTTTAATAATTTCAATATTCACTTTTCGATTTTCTTTTAATCCGGTTCAACAAAAAATGCCTTTGTAATCTGACCAGAGCTTCTTTTATACTGTCGCCCTTTTTGAAATTAACTGAGACTGTAGGCTTGGCCAAAGACGACAGCTTCAGTTTCTTATCAGTTGTTGGACTTTCGTTATTTGCTTTTTTTTAAATTAATGTTGAAGAAATCTCAAAACTGCGCATATGCTGAAAAGATTAGGGGATTTTTTGGAATTTTTGCGGCTTTTTATTGAGAAATTTTCGAAATTGTTTGTTTTGATTTTCAAAAATATTTTGAGGAAGTCAAAATATGATTTATGATTTGTTTTTGGAAAGATTATTGTTTTAGGATTTGGAAAAAAATCTGAAGAAACACATTTTCACAACCATAAACACAAATACGAAAATAAAAGTGGGGGACTTCCAAGTTTAAAAATCTAGATTTGGAGGACTAATTCTTTAAAAAATCTACGTTGTTGATGCTGAAAGTCCTTGGCAAAAAATCGATTAAAAATCCACGTTTGTGGCACTGAAAGTCCTTGGCAAAAAAATCTTTAAAAATTCACGTTTGTCCTTGGCATTAATTCTTTAAAAACCCCACGTTTAGAGGACATAAAGTCTTTGGCTAGAATACTTTAAAAAATTCGCGTTTGTGGTGTCAAAATTCCTAGAACTGAAAGTCCTTGGAAAGAATTCTTGAAAAATTCAAGTTTTTGGGACTGGCAAAAAAATCCTTTAAAAACCCGCGTTTAGAGGAGTAAAAGTACTCGGCAAATACTCTTTAAAAAATCCACTTTTTGGGACTGTTGGTTTTTGGCAAGGATTCTTTAAAAAACCCACATTTAGAGGACCAAAAGTCATTGGCAAGTATTCTTTAAAAAAGACCCATTTAGAGGACCAAAAGTCCTCAACAAAAAAATCCACGATTTTAGGACTGCAAAAATTCTTTAAAAATCCATTTTTGGGGACTATAAGTTCCCATCTACGAGAAGACCTTCCGGTCTTCTAAGAGAAGACCTTCTTCCGATCTTCTAAGAGAAGACCTTCTTCCGGTTTTCTAAGAGAAGACCTTATTCCGGTCTTCTAAGAGAAGACCTTCTTCCGGTCTTCTATGAGAAGACCTTCTTCCGGTCTTCTATGAGAAGACCTTTATCCGGTCTTCTATGAGAAGACCTTCTTCCGGTCTTCTATGAGAAGACCTTCTTCCGGTCTTCTATGAGAAGACCATCTTCTGGTCTTCTATGAGAAGACCTTCTTCTGGTCTTCTATGAGAAGACCTTCTTCTGGTCTTCTATGAGAAGACCTTCTTCTGGTCTTCTATGAGAAGACCTTCTTCTGGTCTTCTATGAGAAGACCTTCTTCTGGTCTTCTATGAGAAGACCTTCTTCTGGTCTTCTATGAGAAGACCTTCTTCTGGTCTTCTATGAGAAGACCTTCCGGCCTTCTATGAGAAGACCTTCCGGCCTTCTATGAGAAGACCTTCCGGCCTTCTATGAGAAGACCTTCCGGCCTTCTATGAGAAGACCTTCCGGCCTTCTATGAGAAGACCTTCCGGCCTTCTATGAGAGGACCTTCCGGCCTCCTATGAGAAGACCTTCCGGCCTTCTATGAGAAGACCTTCCGGTGTTCCATGAGAAGACCTTCCGGTGTTCATTGAGAAGACCTTCGCGTCTTCTATGAGAAGACCTGCGGGTCTTCTATGAGAAGATCTGCGGGTCTTCTATGAGAAGACTTTCGCTTCTTCTATGAGAAGAACTTCGCGTCTTCTATGAGAAGACCTTCGCGTCTTCTATGAGAAGACCTTCTGGTCTTCAGAGCATCCGGTTTTCTATAAGAAGGCCTTCGGATCCTCTATAAGAAGACCCTTCGGGTCTTTTATGAGAATACCTTCTATGACCTTCCATGAGAATAATTTCTGGTCTTCTATAATAAGACTTTCTGGTCTTCTATAGGAAATCCTTTTGGTAATCGATAAAAAGGCCTTATGATCTCGTCATAACAAGACATTCTGGTATAGAGGACTGAAAGTTTTTGGCAAGAATTCTTAAAAAACACACGTTTAGAAGACCATATGGCCTTGGCAAAAATTATGTAAAAATCCAAGTTATTGGGAAATATAGTCCTTGGCAAATTTCTTTAAAAAATCTAAGTTTAGAGGACCAATTGACCTGCGGAAAAATTCTCTATGTTTTTGGGATTAATAGTTCCTGTTAACATTTTTTTCTAAGAATTGCTAGCTTAGAGGGCCAATTGTCCTTTTCAAATCCTTTGGGCCTTCTGTTAGAAGCCCCTCTGATCTTCTATGAGAATACCTTCTATGAGAAAAATGTCTGGTCTTCTATAATAAGACTTTCGGGTCTCCTATAGAAAATCCTTTTGGTCTTCGAAATAAGACCTTTTGATTACGATCTGAGAAGTCCTTCTGGTTCAGAGGACTAAAAGTTTTTGGCAAGAATTCTTTAAAAAAACACATTTAGAGGACCAATTATCCTTGGCGAAAATTATGTAAAAGATCCACGTTTTCGGGATTTATAGTCCTTGGCAAAAATTCTTTTAAAAATTCACGTTAGTGCGGATAATAGTCATTGCTAAATTTCTTTAAAAAATCCAGGACTAGAGGACCAATTGTCCTGCGTAAAAATTCTCTGTTTGTGGGAATTTGTTTACAATTCTTTAAGAAATCCAGGTTTAGAGAACCAATTATCCTTTTCAAAAATTCTTTAAAATCCATGTTTTTGGAACTGATAGTCCCTCTTAAAAATTCTTTAAAAAAATCTCGTCTGTGGGACCGATGAGGTCCGGGTACATAAGCAGCTTGAAGTCTTCACATGGCATACTTTGTGATATATCATTGAGGGATGCCAGAGCCGCACACGAAAAATTCGTTAAATAAACCATCAAATATTTAAAAATCGGTAATGGATTTTTTATATCATAAAGGATTTTGTGACATATCATAAAGGGATGCCAGAGCCGCACTCGAATACTCCCGTCGTTCTTTTCTTATATTTGACATTATTATGCCTAGCTATGATGCCAAGCTGCTTATGTTACCACACCTATAGTCCTTGTCAAAAATTCTTCAGATAAACCATCATATAATTAAAAATCTGTAAAGGATCTTTTTAAATACCCAAGTGGAGGATCTGTTATCCGTTGAAATTTTTCTTTAAAAAAGTACATTTGGAGTCCTTGGTATTTTTTTTTTTTCTAATTCTTGTCCTTATTAATTGGTAACCTCGTATCATTTGGAAACCTTTATTTTTCTTAAAAAAAATACCACCAATTTTTTCTTAAAACAAAAAAAAAAAATTTTATTTTTTTGATTGACAAATTTTGAAAAATTATTGATTGTTTATTGAAATTTTCCAAATTTTCTCCCCAAACCAAAAAAAAAAAAACAAAAATACAAAAATTAAAAAAATCGCCTAAACAAAAACAACGAAACAAAACAACTATTGTACAGCAGTTTTATCATGGCCGATATAACATCACAATCGGGACAGATGCGAACGAAATTGGGTGATATCGTTGAGCACAGTTCAACGTCACTGAATGAGGCAACTGAGGTGACAAAAGGATTGCGGAATGTGGTTGGATGGTTAAAACAGGTGGAACGATTTGAATAATGCTTTTTTTCAAAAAAAAAAAAAAAAAAAAAAAAAAAAAAACATTTTGAAAGCTAAAACTCCTCTCTGAGTGTTGTATAACTTGTACTTTGTGTTTTAGATTTTTTTTAGCACTCACTTTCATTTTTTTTTTAATTTTAAATTGAAAAAAATTATTTTTGAAAAAAAAAATGTTGGGCAAATTAGAACTGTTTTCACATTTTGTATGACATTTTTATTTGCAATTTTTTACGTTTTTAATTCATGTGAAAAGAATTCGAAAGATGCAGTCGAACTTCTCTGTAACACACCCAAGTTTACCAAAATTTAAAACAAGATTTTTTCAAGGCCCTCAAGTTCCCTTAAAAATATATGTCAATAAGTTCGACTGTTCTTTAAAATTGTGGTGGGGTCTCGAAACCTGAATCCACCACCCGATTTTTTTGTGGGCTTTTTTGAGATCCTACCATACGAAAATGGCGCACTTACATTCAGTTCATGTACTTTACTGTCTTTAGATATTTAATTTGTATTTGTTTTTTTTTGTTATTGGCCTGAGCAAATTCCTATTTTTTTCCTCACTTGAAGTATTGAAAAAAAAAATATTCACAATTATTATTTATTATTTTTTCAAGGGGATTCCCCCGGAATTTATGTTAGCTTCGTTTCATTTCATTTTGAATTAGATTTGAGTTTCATTTCCCCACGTTCTTTAATCGGTTTTGTGTTCTCTCGCTATGTATCTATCTATGTGTGTGTGTGCGTGCGTGTGCTGTACAAAAAAAGCTTTCTCTCTGGAGTTTTCCACACAAATCTGAATCAAAAATTTAATTTCTCTTCTTTTTATCTATCTCTTCCTCCCCCTCACATAGGCTTCCATTGAGGTACGTGAAGCTGGCAAACGGGCCGTAACACAAATACAAAGCTCCAATCCGAATTTCCTATCCAACGAATTTGATTTGGACGATCCCGAACTATTGTCACCGACCTCTTCCTCATCGACAGCCGGCGGTGTAACAGACGAAACAAAATACGATACAAAATCGTTATCAAATCAGGATTTAACGCGCAGCTCCCGACCCTCGCTGAGTCAACCACAAAGCCCCCGGGCCCGTAGTCGTGTCGATAATTTTACAGCCGGCTATCATCGTTCCACATCGATTATAACACAATTGGAGAAATCGAAAATCCTCTTGAAAATGTCCTCAGATCAGGAAAATAAACCCCTAACCATACTGCACTATAACGATGTCTATAATGTGGATCCAACGACAGAAGTTGAACCGATTGGTGGGGCGACACGATTTTGTACAGCCATCCGGACCTTTGATGTCGACAATCCTTTGGTTCTCTTCAGCGGTGATATTTTTTCGCCCAGCATGTGTGAGTAGTGGTGTTTTGAGTAACTTATTTTCGAATACTTATATTGAAATATTTTTCTCTTCTATTTTGCAGTAAGTACCTTCACCCAGGGCGAACAGATGGTACCTGTACTCAATAAAATCGGAACACACTGTGCGGTATTTGGAAATCATGATTTTGGTATGTTAAAAGGCACAGGAGTGGATTTTGAAAACCTAGGACCTAGAGTAGCATAATTTTTAAGGGAATCAACTAACTACTACTTCGGAGCCTTAATAGAGGATTTTTAAAAGCCATAATTAAAGGGAGATACGAAAGCATAAACGAACTTTTGAATATCTTTGTACATTTGTTTGTAACGCGGAAGAACGGAAGCGAGATATACCCATGGATACTTTTGACGATTTTCATAAAATCATAGATTTATGCATGTTCGTCTGTCCGTCCATGTAATTTTGTGAACAAAATGCAGGTCGCATTTATTATCCGATTGAGATGGAATTTTCCAAACAATAATTGTTTGGCCTAAGGACGAACCCTATTGAATTTGATGAGAATCGGTTTATATTTAGATATACCTCTCATATATATCTTCAACCGATTTTGGGTGCACCAAATGGCCAATATAAGTCCAAATGACCTGTATTTCGGCACATCCAACCGAATTTAGTCTAGAAGCAAGAACATCAAATTTGGGGGAAATCGGTTCAGATATAGCTATAGCTCCCATATATATGTTTCATCTGATTTGGGGTCTTAAGTCCCTCACATGCGAAATATGCATTCCACAGGAATGATATTTGGTACCAGATATCCGATACAGCCCAGAAATACCTTTGCCAAATTTTATCTAGATCGGATCACATTCGGATGTAGCTCCCATATATATTTTTATCCAATTTTAGGTTTTTTTTGTGCACCAAATGGCTAATATTCTCCCAAATTGACTGAATTTTGGCAAAACCGAACGGATCATATTTAAGAGAAGTCGAATTCCTACTTGACAGCCTTTAAATACGATTTTTGGAAAACATTTCAGAAAAACTTCAAGGCCATTTGAAAACCATAAATTCTTATCTAACTTCAGTACCTAAAAGAGGATAGTTTTATGAGGAAATAAGAACTGGATTTTTAAGACTTTTAAGCGCACCCTTTACTTTTGGATAACAAATTGTGTAGCGCGCCTTAAAGTATGTTACAAAAATACTTAGCAGAAATAGGACTTTCGAACCCCAAATATGATAATTTTTAAGAGGAGTAGAACTCCTACTTTAGAATTCCTTTTTGGAACACATTTCAGGAGAACTTCAAGGCAATTTTAAAATATATATTCTTAATTGACTTTAGAACCTCAAAGAGAATAGTTTTTTAAGGAAATCAGAACTGGATTTTTAAGATATTTTTTTAAGTCTTAAAGAGGATTTTAAAATCGATTTCTCAAGTCAACTTCACAGCCACAAAATAAATTTGTAAACGTATGTTTAAAGCCTCTTTAGAGATGGGAATTTTCCAACACATATTTTGCATGGGATCCCACAGCCAAAAACTAGAATTTTAAAAATATATATTTTCTGAGGTCTTGCAGAGCAACAAACGTGGTTTTTTAACATGTTTGAAACATATATTTTTCGAGGGTCTATCATACATCGAAGAGACTAGTTTTTAGAGCCTTAAAAAAGGATTTTAGAATACATTTTACACCATAACTTTAGACCCACAAAAGTGGATTTTGAAATCCATATTTTCAAGCGTCTTAAAAGAGGCTTTTTGGAACATATCTTTAAAAAGATTTCAGTAGTAGTAGTTTTTTAAGGAAATCAAATCTAAATTTTTATAAAATATTCAAAGAAGCATAAAAGGATTTTTAGAACAGACTTCTCGATTCAGACTTCAGAGCAAGCAAAGCAGTACATATGACTGAAGCCTCCTTAAAGCACACATATTTGATGGGTTCTCATGGCCAAAAACGAGAGTCTTTACAAATCTTTTTTCCAAAGGTCTTTAAGAGTCTCATGCGGGAATTTTTTAAAAGAAATTTTTCAGACCACTTTTAGACCCAGGACATGGATTTTTAATAATAATTCTTAAGTCAATTTCGGAGCTAAAAAAGTGGATTTTTAAAAAAATATTTTTTGCAGCCACTTAAAGAGGCACAAACGTGGATTTTTATACCCTCAACCTCAAAGAGGGTGCCATATATATAGAGCCACAAATAACAATTTCAGGGATAAATTTTCAAAGTACTTTAGGAGCCATTTACAAACACTCGCAAAATGGTATTAATTTTTCCAAAAATCTCTTTTCTTAAGGGATTTTCAGAAATTGTTCCAAAGATATCTTTTCTCAATGGATTCTCGGACCCTCGCCAACATGAATTTCTAAATCATATTTTTGTCAAATATATACATATTTTTTTTAATTTCATTCCTTCTTTCAGATCATGGCCTCGATGTGCTGGTGGAACTTATCAAAAAGACCAACTTCCCATGGCTTATGTCCAATGTGGTGGACAACGAAACGGGTCGGCCATTGGGCGGTGGGAAAATTTCCCATTACATATTTCACAATCAAATATCTATTGGTCTAATCGGATTGGTGGAAAAGGAATGGCTTGAAACTTTGCCGACCATCGATCCCAAAGAGGTTACCTACATTGATTATGTACAGGCAGGCAATAAACTGGCCGAGGAACTGCGAAACGAAGGCTGTGAATTGATAATAGCCCTGACACACATGCGCACCCCCAACGACGTCAATTTGGCAGAACATTGTCCCGGCATTGATCTCATTCTGGGTGGCCACGATCATGTCTACGAAATCAAAGAAGTCAATGGCATTAAAATCATTAAATCCGGTACAGATTTTCGGCAATTTTCCAAAATTACCATACACAAGGAACGCGATGAAAATGGCAAATTGAAAATCGATGTAGAGGCTGTTGATGTGACGGCCAAATATGCGGAAGATGAAGGTTTGAAAAAGGAATTGGCCACATACTCGGAGGTCATAGAGGCTAAAATGACTGAAGTTTTGGGTAACTTTAGTGTGGAGTTGGATGGACGTTTCTCGGCGATTCGGACACAGGAAACGAATTTGGGTGATTGGGTGTGTGATGTGGCGTTGGCGGCAACTGGGGCCGATGTGGCTCTCATCAATTCGGGTACATTTCGTTCGGATCAAATACATCCGCCGGGTCCATTTACAATGAGGGATTTGGTGAATATCATACCAATGAGAGATCCCCTGATTTTACTGGAAATCTCAGGAAAATGTTTATATGAGGCATTGGAGAATTCAGTATCCGGCTATCCGAAATTGGAGGGCAGATTTCCTCAGGTGGGAATATAAATCTTTTTTATTTATTTTTCTTGGATTTATGTATTTTTTTTCATTTTTATTCCAGGTATCTGGTGTAACATTTGCCTTTGATCCCGCCAAACCACCGGGACAAAGAATCGATCCCCAGCTGGTGCAAGTGGGCGATGAGTATCTGAATATGGACCAGAAATATAAGATTTGTATTAAAAGTTATATTTACAATGGCTGTGATGGTTTTACAATGTTTAAGGACGCTAAAGTATTGGTAGGTAATTGGAAGATAAAACTTTTTCGGCTTTTCTGATTTTTTGGAATTTCTTTTCCTAGATGGATGATGACTCCTGCCCTGAACTGGGTCTCACCGTACAAAATCATTTCAAAGCAATAAATCTACGCACCGGCAAAGGTGGTCATCATACCAAACATCGACAATCGCTGGTAACACTATCCCGCCGCCACAGTATGGTACAAATGTTGGATAATCTGGAGCTGGACGGACCATCGCCAATACGGAAATTATCAGGACATCAAACCAAATCAATAGACTTATCGAATACGAATTGCTCAAAGGTAGGTAGCGATTTGAATGAAATACAAGTAATGCAGAATGTTATCCATGTTAGCCACATTATCCGGATTATCCTAATAACGTAGATATGTTATCCACGTTATCCAAATAACATAGAAATATTGTCCACGTTCTCCAAATGACGTAGATATTTATCCAGGTTATCCAAATGACGTTGAAATGTTATCCACGTTATCCAAATAACGTAGATATGTTATTTAAGTTATCCAAATAACGTAGATATATATTAGCCGCGTTATCCAATTAATTTTATCCACGTTATCGAAATTACTTAGATATTTTATCCCCGTTATCCAAATAACTTAGATATATCCACGTTATCCAAACGACGTAGATATGTTATCCACGTTATGCAAAAGACGTATATACATTATCCACGTTATCCAAAATACGTATATATATTATCTACGTTATCTAAATAACATAGATATGTTATCCAAATAACTTAGATATGTTATCCACGTTATCCAAATAGCCTAGATATGTTATCCATGTTATTCAAATAAATTAGATATGTTATCCAAATAATGAGATATGTTATTCCCGCTATCCATATAGCCCAGATATGTTATCCACATTATCCGAATAACGTGAAACTAATATTCAAGTTATCCAAATCATTTTAATATTTCGTCCTCTTTATTCAAATATATTTTCAAACAAAATTTTTAATACAATTTTTTTGCAGATGTTACGACGTGCTTCCCTTGATGACTTGGAACAGGCCAGCTGCCAGCTGGCCCCGAAAATTCAACATAGAATAATACGCATTGAAAACGAAGCGGTCAGTATTCCAAATTTATTTTAAGTTGATGACGTTTTTATACCCTCCACCATAGTATGAAGGGTATATTAAGTTTGTCATTCCGCTTGTAACACCTCGAAATATCCATTTTAGACCCCACAAAGTATATACATTCTTGATCGGCATAAAATTCTATGTCGATTTATCGATGTCCGTCCCTCTGTCAGTCTGTGAAAATCACTTTAGTTTCCGAACGAAATGAAGTAGGTTGAAAGAATTTTATTCGAATGTATGCTATGTCTGCAGGACTTTTGGTATTAAAAATGGGCCATGTAGGTCGACGTTTTGGTATAGCCTCCATATAATGGTACCTTCCGATATTCGGCATTTTGATGATTTTAGCGACAAAATTCACCGGAAATGTTTCAAATTTGGTATGTAAAGTTCGTAATGGGTACCACAGCCTATGACAGAAAATTGTCTGTGCAGGTCCACGTTTTCATATAGCCCCCATATAACACTACCTCCCGATATTTGATAATTTGATGATTTTAGCGACATTATTCACCGGAAATGTTTCAAATTTGGTATTTGAAGTTCGAAATGGCTACCACAGCCTATGACAGAAAATTGTCCACGCAGGTCCACGTCTTCGTATAACCACATATAATAGTACCTCCCGATATTCGGTATTTTGATTATTTGTTTACCGGAAATATTTCAAATTTTGTATTTGAAGTTCGTTATGGGTACCACAGCCTATGACAGAAAATTGTCTGTGCAGGTCCACGTTTTCATATAGCCCCCATATAACGCTACCTCCCGATATTGGGTAATTTGATGATTTTAGCGACACCATTCCCCGAAATTGCTTCAAATTTGGTATTTGAAGTTCGTAATGGATACTAAAGCCTATGACAAAAAATTGTCCGTGCGGGTCCACGCCTTCGTATAGCCCCCATATAACGCTTCCTCCCGATATTCGGTAATTTGATGATTTTAACGACAATATTTACCGGAATTGTTTCAAATTTGGTATTTGAAGTTCGTAACGATTACTATATCCCATGACAGAAAATTGTCTGTGCAGGTCCACGTCTTCTTATAGCTCCCATATAACGGTACCTCCCAATACTCGATTTTCTGATGATTTTAGCGACATTATTCACCGGAAAGATTTCAAATTTTTTATTTGAGGTTCGTAATGGATACTTAAGCCTATGAAAGAAAATTTTCAGTGCGGGTCCACGCCTTCGTATAGCCTACATATAATGGTACCTCCCGATATTCGGCATTTTGATGATTTCAGTGACATTATTAATCGGAATTGTTTCAAAATTTGGTATTTGAAGTTCGTAATGGAAGCTACTGAATATGACAGAAAATTGTTAGTGCAGGTCCACGTTTTCATATAGCCCCCATATAACTCTACCTCCCGATATTTGATGATTTTAGCGACATTATTCACCGGAATTGTTTCAAATTTGGTATTTGAGGTTCGTAGTGGATACTATGTCTATGTAAGTTGTCTGTGCAGGTCCACGTCTTCGTATAGCCCCCATATAGCGGTACCTCCCGATATTCGACATTTTGATAATTTTAGCTACATTTTTCACCGGAATTGTTTCAAATTAGGTATTTGAGGTTCGTAATGGATACTTAAGCCTATGACAGAAAATTGTCTGTGCAGGTCCACGTCTTCTTATAGCTCCCATATAACGGTACCTCCCGATATTCGGTATTTTGGTGATTTTAGCGACATTATTCACCAATATTTTGTTCAAGTTTCGTTAATATAACATCTACATTCGGTATTTTTAAGATTTTAAAAGAATTTTTAACGGACTTTTTTTTATTCTTTTGAAAATTGCAAAATTCTTTCCAAATGGTGGAGGGTATTCAAAGTTCAGCCCGGCCGAAATTACAGCTTTTTTACTTGTTTAACTTACGTTCAATTTTCAATATTTCAGCACTACAACCGACTGCTTATGAAAAAGGAGACTTCCATCAAGAACACAACAATCACCGAGGCCGAGGATGAATAATTTTACCTCAATAATTCCATTGAAGAATACTACAGCTCAGCTACTCCCAGACAACTTAACTATGACGATATTTATAACAACAACAAAGAAAAACTAAACAAAATAACAACAGAATACACTCAAAACAAAATACATATGTATGTAATCTGAAACTTAAAATCGTCCTATGCGCTAACAAAGAACAAAAAAAAACAAGAAAACGATTACCACTTAGATACGACTCAAAAAAAAAAACATCTACTCGCTCGCGCTCCTATTTTTATTCATTGTAAAACTAGAGCTAAGTATTTATTGAATTTCAAGACACAGACATTCGTTTTATTTTTAATTTCAATTTTCAATTCATATTTTTTCGTGGGGAGCTGGGTTTCCCCCAAAACGCAATATGAGGAAATGAAGACATTAAAGCACAAACTGGAAGAGTTGCATTTGTTGTCTCTGCCACAATTTTAAAACAAATAAAAAAATACAAGGATAACTCAAAAGGAATATTTAGAGCTTTTTATCTAAACTTTTTGAAATGTCCCTCAAACATCCGAATACATTTTCACCCAAAACGAATATTTATGTTATTTGTAATAATAATTTAATCTTATTTAATTAAATATAATCCCATCTAATGCCTTTGTTTCTGTTTTCAAAATATTTTTTCTTGTTAACAAAACAAAATTCTGTATTCACATTAAAATCCTAACAAGAAAAATGGAAATGCCTTTTTCTATTATAAATATAATTTATAAATTAAAACAAAAAGACCCATTGTAAAGACGTTCTCCTTTAAAACACACACAAAACCCAAATTGTTGATTATTTTAGAAAACCTAAAAAACCAAAAAAGCTTTAAATAGATGTTATTAAATACAAGGCAAACGAGGAAGAAGAAAAAGGACATGCTCTTAAAATAAATGAAATGAAATGGAAAGCAACTAATAGATATAGGCAACAACTCTTATGGCAAGTTTAAACGCAATGCACACACATACACACACAGTTTTTTCGAATTTCTTTTTGTAGCACAAAATAAAAACAAATGCAAAACAAAAATAAAATACAAATGTTTTAGTCATAATTTATTGATTTTATATAGGAGAAATATATATATATACACATTTATTGTTTATGTATATACATATTTACTAAATAAGCACACACACACCACATACTATTATAATTATTGAACATATAAATACATTCTATAATTTAAAAAATAAAATTATAAAAATCAACTAAAATGAAATAACATAACCTAAAAACAAAACTCAAGAAAAACATACATCTGCTGTAATAAACCAACAAAGACAAGAACAATGTTAAGACATACTCAACAGAACTAACAAATAAATAAATAAATATAAAATAATAATGGAGATATATATTAATTACAAAATGGGTTTAATTTGTTGTAACATCTGGTGTGAGGGTGGGACAAAGTTGATATACTAAGGCCTTCTATTTATAAAAGATCGATCTTTGGTCGCCTAGAAATCCTTGAAGATTTTCTTTGCAGGTTTCATGTGTTTGGACATTGTTAGCAATAGGATGAGTTCAGCTGCCGCTGTCTTCATGCTGTCACAAATCAGCATGAAACCAGTAAGGAAAAGTCAAATGTCGGGCGAGGTCGACTATGCATATTTAGTAGAGCTCCCGTAACAAAACAATTTATTTCAAGTAGATCTTACCATCTATCCACATTGGCTTTGAAATGACAGCAGTTTGAAGTTGGTTGCAGGTTTTCCATCTCACCCTGTATATAGGGATTGTCAAAAGTGTTAAAAGGTATTTAAATTGTACACGGTGGAATCTATTGGATTAAAGGAAGGTGTTCCGAGAGGAGTAACCGAAAAGCCATAGTTGATAATTATCTGCTGTTGTAGTGTTATGCAATTTCTGGAAGCCACGTTGAGAGTCTGCTGCTGGGAAACACTCTCTTATGCTGGGGAAGAATAAAGCTTAAAGCGTTCTTGCTACTGGTGACAGAGGTGATATCGACCTGTATGAATCACTTTTGCTGGCATCCTTGCCTGGCTTCAGTAGTGAAACCACCCTGCCCATTTTCAAGGCATCGGGAACTACCAGGGTGGCTAACGACAGATTGAGGAGCTTTGTAAGATACTCAACTTCTGCTTCATCCAATTGCGTCAACATCAGCATAGAGATTCCGTCAGGACCAAGCGCATTGGATGAATTTGCGCTTCTGATGACATATGCAACATCTTCCAACGTAAATTGTGGTGGTACCTCCTCGTCGGGAAGAGATCGTACGCGGCGTAGGATCTTCTCTTAGCCCTGTCACTCACGGGGTCGACTCTACAAAACTGCCGGTTGAAATAATACGCGCACCTCTTCGAATCTGTCACTTCTACGCCGTTAAATGAGACAGATGTCCGATCGTCCTTTTTCACCACATTCGAGAGCGACAATTTACTCGTTCCGGTACTGATGTTGCAATGCTTCAGATGTTCTAGCCACTTTTGCCGCTTATGCTCACCTACTAACCTGTTTACCTCCAGAGTAAGTTCTGGGGTTATTAGGGTTAGTACGGCGAAGCTTATCTCGCTCATTTGCTTATCCCGTTGCCTCTGCTGGGAAATTTGGTCTTATTTTAGGTATTCGGTCAGCAGGTATATAGCGAACGGCTGCAGCTTTAAAGATGTCCGGAAACACCTATCTGCTACCTTTACATCAGATGGGTTGGGCAGTTCTCTGAAGCGGCGATTGGTATATTCTATGAATTCTTCCGTGGTTAAGGGAAGTGCGGCGTTCAGAATCTATGAAGTCGGGTGGTCTGTTGATGGCGACAATAATGGGGAGGTGGTCTGAGCCTAGAGAAATAACTGATTGCCAAGTTACGTCATTCGTAAGACCTGGGGACACGATGGATATGTCCGGTGAACTGTGACAGTCTCCCCTAATTGTGGTGGGCGCGTCCTCAGTCACTGTGCAAAATGTGGAGCTATCAATTTGCTCAGCCATGGAGATGGTGTGGGCCGCCATAACAGCCGATGGCCACTCGCCGCTCGTAATAATCGACCGTGCCATCAGACTAAATGCCGAATATTATCGCAAAAATATTGTGGAGGGTTATAAAAGCCTTGGACAAGCAAACATTTTGGCCGCAGCCCTTGGACATTCCAACAGGACTCAGCACCATCGTACTCAGCGCGCGCCCCCCCAAAAATGGTTACAAAATAAGGTTCCTCGCTTCATTTCCAGCGCACAATGGCCACCAAAATCTTCGGATACCAGTCCGTTGGACTATTGTGTCTAGAGTATTTTGGAAAGCAAGGTTGGCACTAAAAAATACCAAAGTTTCGATCACCTCAAGCAAGCGCTTTGCCGGGAATGGGCCAAAATACCGCCGAGGGACATTTTGGCAGCGTGTGACGGTTTCATTGGCCGTTAGAAGGCCATAATTCGTGCCAAAATTGACCAATTCGAACAAATCTAAACTTATTCTAAAATTTGATGCTATTTCCGACATTTTTTGCTTTCATTTAATAAAATTTAAAAAAAAAAATGTTAAAATTATGGCGTTGACTTTGTTTCAAGTTTTTATCTCACCCTTTATATACCTAAAATAAACGGATTCCAAGCAATCTTAATCCAAAAATTTCCAAAAGTGTGGAAGTGGGGGAACTTGTCTCCACTGCGATGTAAACTTGTAAAACGCCGATACACGTTTAGCTCTACTTCTACTGAAATCATGAAAGTTCTCTTTATTATATTTTTGTTATAAAAGGCCGTTGCCTTACCTTGAAATAAAAACTCTTGCATTTTTTTGCTAAACTATTTTTAATTTGTTTTATTAAAATTTTCATTTTATTAAGGCAGGTGGTTAAGAAGTTTGGTTACATTTTGGAAGATCCTGGTTAATATCGTTTGTTAAACTATATATTATTATTGATTGCGTTTTTTTTTCAAAGAAGAACAATTATTAATTTCTTAAAATATATTGAAAATCGATATGATTTTTTATTTTGAAAAAATCTGTGGTAGTAACAACATTTAGATGTCTTTTGAAATGCCAGTTAAAAATCTTGTTGATGGCACAATTTTGATCAGCTAGCGATGGACTAATGCCCGTTGTAATGAATACCATAATGTAAAAAAATTTGATAAAATTTAATTTGTAATTTAGTTTCAAAGGTGTAATAATCCTTTGACTGGGATATGTCATTTTATCCTTCAGAAATAATATGTGAAAGTAACACATGGCATAAAACATGTGACATTTTGTTCTTTTTTATAAATCTGTATAAGATACTCTTCATCATGTCCTTGAATTTGGTTTAGTAGTCGATCCTTAAAGGTTAATACATAAAATGTTTCGATTTTTTTTAATAATGGATATTTGTTTTTTGGATTATTAAATGCTATTAGAAAAAATAAAATAAGCATACACACACAAATACATAAAAATATATAAATAAAAAAAAGACACACACAGTTCAAATAGGCGGCTTGAATAGCAATTTTTAAACTCAAAACCAAAGTTTGAGTCACGGTGTGAATTATGGAGTTGTTTTTTTTTGTTCAACTTAATCCAATTGTAAAACTAATGTTTTTGTGGCACTGGCTATATAATAGGCACATTCACGTACATCTTTGTAGTATTTGGCAATGGCTGTCTTATCATCCGTCTCCAGGGAATTGCGTAAATTTTCACAGCTATGCTGTATTAAAATATTGTTGCGTGTTAATTGCATTAGCGTCTCACGTATTGTTTCATTGCAATTGGCCTGTGAAAAGAAAAAAATCGAAAGGAGAGAAATAAAAAATATGAATCCATAAAAAATTAGAATTGCATAAGTCGGAACATGAAGGTATGGGTTCGCAATCTAACGTTCTTTTTTTCAACGGAAAGAATATGGATACGCTTAAACAACACTGGAAAATATTGCGATATTAATTTGAAAATGTAACAAGTTAAATAGAATTGATCTCCCTGTTAATGGATCTCACCCCACTGTGCGATGAGCTCAAATAAAGTCACTGTTTGATGTGGATTTTGGTCCAGAGGCATAATCGGGGCAAACCAGCAAGGTATTGCCGTTACATTATCGGAGCGTGTTGAACGAATTTTTGATTTTGGCCACATTTTTTTCAATAGTAAGTCGCTATGTGCTACCTAGCCGAAACTACACTCGATTTTCAAAATATATAGAAGATCAAACAAAGGTATTTTAGTTCAGAGGTCCCATTAAAGATATGTTTTACACATAAGGCTTCCCATCTAGAGTGTCCTTCCAAAGACTCTATTTCTACTGAAGGCCTTTTAAAGAACTTTTAGCAGAGGCAGTGCTAACCAGCGGAAACTACACTCGATTTTCAAAATATATAGAAGACCAACCCAAGGTCTTTTAGTAAAGAGGTCCCACTAAAGGTATGTTATTCATACAAAGCATCCTATCTAGAAAATCCTAACAAAGGCAACTTTTTTACTGAAGACCTTTCAAAGAACTCTTAGTAGTAGAATACTTCCCAAATACTTGTTATCTTAAAAAAGACCTCCCAATGGACTTTTATCTATATAAATTTTCTTAAAAGCCTCTTATTTATAGGGCTTTTAATCGTCTTCCCAATTCCATCTATTTTTAAAAGACATGTAGTGTGGAGACTTCAGTTTTCTCTTATTACCCGGATTTTTTCTTTGAAGAGGTCTTAGCCTTCTCAGTTGAGGCAGGGCATGATTCGGTAAAAGGATTTTCGATCAACAGTTTTTTCACAGTTAGATAAGTCTTCCCTCCCCACAATGTGGGGCGCCCAAAGTGGTTCGATATTAGAAAATCTCTTTTTTGCAGCTAAGGACTATATTCATATTCATGATCATCCCTTTAAAAGGACAAGGATTTGGAACATTTTACACATCGCTTGTAGTCTCTCTTTGGCTCCTGAGTGTCGACGCTTTTCTAGATAACGTAAGAGCTCATGTGAACCCTCTCCTATTATGTCTTATCACTGGATCACAGGCCCACTGGAAAGTCCTTCCCGACAAACTATCGCTTCTTAACATTTGTTTCCATCGTTCCATCTTTTATGGAGGCAAAGATTACCTGTCTTTGTTTCATAGATCAATAAACTCTACAAGTCCTTCCTAAGGTAAACTATCTATATAAAAAACCTCCCAACGGCCTCTTATCCATGGTAGACCTTATCGACAAGGCCAGAAATGTTTTTGGTATCAATTTCGGCTATGAGTTTTGCACCGACCGACAAAAAGGTTCTCAAGCAAAAAGGTTTAGGAATAAGCGTTCTTAATATTTTCAATTCTGGTACCTGTCCTCCTGGGACACCTTGACTATTTCGACGGTAGATCTCCAATGAATTTATATCTATGGAACAACTCATAAAACCCTTCTATCGAAGAAAGAACTATAGAAGTTATATCTATACAATACCTCCCAAAGGCTTTATAACGATAGGAGACCCCAAGAATTCTGGATGCCACACAGGCCTGCTGAGCGAACCTTTATTTTAGGATCTACGAAATACATTATATTTATAAAAGACTTCTTAAGGCTTTAAATTATCAAAGATTTCCCAAAGGTATTCTACCTTTGGAAGACCAATAAAGGGCCATCTATGTATAGAGTAGCACCGCAAAGGCCTTTTCTGTAGAAGAGTCTCAAGGGTCTTCTATCAATCTATAGAATTCTAAACAATCTGTATAAGACCTCCGAATTGTTTAATATCATTTTTTTATAGCCACAAAAAATTGTTTAATTACGCTCTAAGAATTTACCATTCTGGCTCCTAACCCTCAAGGACCCCAGGCACCTCCCACTCCCAGAGTACGTCGGCGGTAGACCTCCAATAACCTTATATCGATAGAACATCTAAAGCTCTCCTATCTAAGAAAGAACTATAAAAGTTTTCCTATCTATACGATACCTCTCAAAGGCTTTATAGCGTGGGAGACCCCCAAGACCTTTATTACGGTCCTATGAAATACATTCTATTTATAAAAGACTTCTAAGGCTTTAATCTATCAAAGACTTCCAGAAGGTATTCTACCTTTGGAAGACCGTCTAAGTATAGAGTTTCCCCGCAAAGGCCTTTTATCTGTAGAAGAGTATCAAAGGCATCTCTCAAAGGCCTTTTATCTGTAAAAGAGTCTCAAGGATATTCTTTCCTCCGAAAGGTTTTCTTTCAATATTATTGTTCTATATCCACAAAAAAAAGGTTTTCCCTTACCGGTGTTGTGAAGACATTTATCAGCTCCAATACTGCCGCCCGAATGCGTTCGGCACATGGTATTAAGGTCTCCTTATTATTTGGATCCTGCATTGTATGTATCAGCTCCTTGAGGCGATGTGTTACAATATCGGCTTTCTGATTAACCTCTTCGGTGAAAGATTTATTGGCCGATTCGATGCCGGCCATTTGATACATGGATGTGGTGTTGCGAGAATCTGATGATGCTTTACTGACATTGGTTTGTAAACGACGCTCGTACATACTGGCCGGTCGTTTTATCGTCGATTGTTGAGAATTTGTGGTCGATGATGAGGTCGACGTCGATGAACTGTTGGCGTTCGAAGTTTGTGCGGCATTGGCCGTAAAAGGCGATGTCGAATTTAAACCCTCCGGCAGGGAATGGGGTTCGTGATCATTGTCGTCTGTTTTGAAATCAATGCGTCTGTTTGGAAGTTCAATAATTCATCGAGGAAAAAGGAAATGGCAACAAATGAAATTAAACAAAAAAGAAAACATAAAAAACAAAATAAAACAAAAAATTAAATTAAAATAATTATTTAAAGAAAAGAACATAATCCTCACAATGGCTCATCGTAAACACTGTTATTGGAGGCCGAGGCTGAAGACGACTGTTGCTGCTGCTGTTGTTGTGAATCCACATTGGAAAATTTCGATTTCAATTCGGAATTTTCATTGGATAGCTTTTGTACAACATTTCGTAGCTGATTGATTTCCGAAACATATTCATTGATTTGTTTGCGCAAATGTAACATTTCGAAATTTTTCACTTCTTCCGCTGGTTTGGCTGATTGATGAACAATGGCCTTGAAGGTGCGAGGCCCCAAAAGGTGTTAACATAAAATTAAACAATAAGAAAAGAAATAAAGGGAAATTAATTAAAAATAAAAATAAATGAAACTAAAACTAAATTAAATTGAAATTCTAAAATTAACTCCCAACTAATTTTTCAACAAAATCTAAATATTTATTAAAAAATTTTGATGAAGGGTTTATAAAAACATAAACAAAAATTTTAAAATAAAATTTGAAATCAAAATTGTTTGTGAAGAAATATTAACACTTTTGATTTTTTTTTATTAAAGGTATTAAAACTTTATTAAATATTTTTTTCTAAAATCTATTTATTTTTAATTTTTTTCTTACTAGAATTAAATATGATTTTACTACATGATATAAGCCATAATATGAGATTTTAAAACTAAGCTTTTGGCGATAGATATAATGTTGAAAACTCTGATACCATGGTACAATAAAAAGGTAATGTAGAGCTCCCAGCTGATTACAATTTTTTTCTAAGATTGCCCGACTTCTGCCAACTTTGTGTATGTATTTATTGTTTTGAAAAATAAAAACAAACTATTTTTAAAATCAATGATTGGAAGAAACGTTTAGGGTTAGATAAAAAAAATACTGCAACCAACTTCAGACTGCTTTATTTTCTAAGCCACTCGTCGGACAGCTGTTAAAATTATTCCACTGACAGCTCATTACATTGTTTACAAGCGTACAAAAGCATTGTGGTGAGAATTTTCCAGAAAAAAAGTTATTCTTGATGGAATTCAAGCGTTATAGTGAGATTTCTTTAAATTTGGCTGGAAAACCACAAGTGGTTATCGTTAGAGCACTCCAGCGTTTAAATGTGAATAATTTTTTTTTTGTGTCTCGTACCATTGCTAGTTACCCTGATACTGGTAGCATAGCAAAACGTGAAAGAAGTGGACGTAAGAAAACAGCAACATCAGCCGAAATGATTCGAAAAATGAAGAAGCATCGCAGTGGTCGAAAAATGGCTAATGAGCTGAACATATGGCGATATTCCATTCGGCAAATATAGAAAGAAAATAGACTCAAAAGAGCTGAAGAGTTGTTTCGCTTGGCCGAAGGTGGCAGCGGAACCACCGTGGCATAAAATAAATGCCGAATTTTATCGCGAAAATATTCTGGAGAGGGTTTTAAAGCCTTGGGCACGCAAACGTTTTGGCCGCAGACCTTGGACATTCCAACAGGACTCAGGACTCAGCACCATCGCACTCAGCACGCGCCACCCAAGAATGCTTACAAAATGAGGTTCCCCTCAGCCCACAATGGCCACCAAAATCTCCGGATACCAATCCGTTGGACTATTGTGTCGGGAGTATTTTGTAAAGCAAGGTTGACACTAAAAAATATCAAAGTGCCGATCACCTCAAGCAAGCGCTTCGCCGGGAATGGGCCAAAATACCGCAGAACAACGTTCGGGCAGGGTGTGACGATTTCATTGACCGTTTGAAGGCCATAATTCGTGCCAAAGGTGACCAATTCGAACAAATCTAAACTTATTCAAAAATTTGATGCTACTTTCGACATTTTTTGTTTTCATTCAATTAAATGTAAAAAAAATGTAAAAATTATGGCGTTTGACTTTGTTGCAGTTTTTTTATCTCACCCTGTACAGAAGATCTTCTGTTCAGATCTCTGCAAAGAAGCTTTAGATCTTCCTCTGCTAAAGAAGACCTTTAAATCTTCAATTTATTGAAGAATTATCGAAGATGTTTGGTCCAACTTAACCATCAGGATTGGCTATCTTCATTTATAATCTTCAAACGTTCTCTGTCTAAAGAAAATCTTTAAAAATTCTTTTTATAGAACAACTTTTGTCCATAGAAATCTTTTAGAAGGACTGCTATCTTCATTTTACTTATTTTACTTATTTTAATTAAATTACTATTATTTTTTTTCTTTGTCAACTATTTTTCCAATCTACCTCGATTTTGATGGTTAATGTTAAATGTTTGTCCATTATCACGACCAGCATCCATAGTTAATGCAATTATTCTATTATTTTGGGATTTCTATTAAATCGATATTCACTTATTTTAAATAGCTTTAAATACATTTCAAACACAAAATTGTCATAAAGCACCACAATCGGCAAAAACAAACTACTGGCATCGAACACCGAGTGCTTAACTTTTTCTCTCACTAAATGCTTAACCGAAACTATTGTTGAGTTTCAAAATTTTCTGTCGCATTAGATTTACCTGTTGGGCCATGGGAGGCATTGGCTCATAATCATCATCGGCCACGGGATCATAAATTGGTTCATCATCGGATAAATTTGGATCATGATAATCATTGCCAATGCCAGTGTTGTTATTATTGTTGTGGTTGCTTTGATTGTTGAAACCATAGAAGCCCGATAAATTATTATTGGGCATGGATGATGATGACGATGCAGCAGCAGAAGCAGCTGTAGGTGGTTGGGGTCCATCGAGTGGCCGTAAATTTGCCATATTTTGACGACGTCGTGCATCAATTAAAACATCCGTTAATAGGCCATTGAATTCTGCACGACTAAAGCGTGCTAATTTTTGACGACCCTGAAAATAAAAAGCAAAATCACACAACCAATTAGCATGGGAAAAAGTAAGGCCAAGTAAACAATTTTTAAATACCTGATTACGGGTGGCACTTAGAAATGGATTGGCTGGTAGAAATGGCACACCAGCAACATTGTCGGCATTGACGGTCGATGTGGACCAAACTGAAAAATATAAATAAATAAATTCATTATTCCAAAACTGTTTTCAGTACAAAACATTTGAAAATATTATAATGTAGGTTGATCCATTGGCGAGGTTGGAAATGTGCAATACTTCTTGAAAAACTCTAATTTCTACAGATATTTTATTAATAAATAGATAGAGGACATATCTACGAAAGTTCTCGAAATGACAATTTCTTTATTGGAACTTTAGAAAACCTGATACTTCTAAAAGACCTTTGAAAGAATTCATCCCCAAAAGACCACTTAATGTCTCTTTATTCCAAAGAGTTTATCTTTTTAAAAGCCTTTAATTTTTAGACCTCTAAAATTGCTTCCATAAGAAGAAGATCTCTAGTCTCTCCAAATATAAAAAATGACCCCCCAAAAGATTTTATGCTATTAAAGACTTCTAAAAAGGGAAAATATCTGGACAGTCTTCTTTACAGAAATGCTTTGAAAGAATGTCATGTACAGAAGACCTTTTAAATGGGTTCAAAGTATACAAGAAGACCTCTTTAAAGACTTACACCTCCTGAACACTTTCTGTCTATTAAAGAATAAAGAGTCCCTCCATGTATTTTCTATATTTTGAAGGAAAAAATATGTAAAATATCTTCCAAATATGAATAAATTGAATATTGAATAAATAATCCTATGACCTCTGCCTCCATACATGGCCTTTTTTAAAAGGTCTTCTAATAAAGGAGAGTATCTCCAAAGTAAAGAGGTCCTTGGAAGGTCTTGACGGAGAGCCCCTAGTCAGCCTCGTTAAAGGTCATTCATCTACGGAATACACCTAGAATACACTTTAAACATGGGACCTCAGAATGCCATCCTAATAAGGAAGATGTTTACAACACACAAATCCTCTAAAGAATCATCTGCTTAAATGGGTTCAACGTATACAAGGGGACCTTTTTATAGACTTCTATCTCCTGAACACTTTCTGTCTATTACAGAATAAAGAATCTCTCCAGATATTTTCTATATTTTGAAGAACTAACCTTCATCTGTAGAGGGGAAAATATCTGTAAAATATCTTCCAAAAATAAAGCGGACTCTTCGGAGAGCCTACCATCTTTACATCTGTAAGATTTTCTTCATGGGGAATCCATATTGAAGACCACCCCAATATACAAAACGTCTAGAGAGCTTTTCGTCTATAAAAATATGTTTCAAAGCTTTTCATTCGCAGACGACTTCTTGAGATTCTTCTTTCAATAAATATCCCTATGACCTCTGCCGCCATACATGACCTTTTCTAAAAGGTCTTCTAATAAAGAAGAATATCTCCAAAGTAAAGAGGTCCTTGGAAGGTCTTGACAGAGAGCCCCTAGACAGCCTCTTTAAAGGTCATCAATCTACGGAATACACCTAGAAATATTCTATAGTGTCTTTAAACATGGGACCTCGGAATGCCTTCCAAATAAGGAAGATGTTTACAACTCACAAAGCCTCCAAAGAATAATCTGCTAAATGGGACCTCTTGTTGGTCTCTAATCCAAGGAATACCCCAAAAATTTCTTTTAAATAAAAAAAATTTTAAATTACATTGGACCTTTAAACGGACTTTCAATATAGGAATCCCATAACGGTTTCATTCAGTTTCTCCGTTAAGGACCCCTTGAAGACCTCCGAGAAGATCTCTAAAATATAGGTGACCCTCGACGTAGGATACCTCCAAAATGAAGACCATCTGGCGGTTTTAGACATAGGTCTTTAAGCATTAAAGACAGGACACTGGAATTCTACATTTTCAAATTCGTTTTATGGATAGAATAGCTTCAAATGTCTTTAAGAAGTAACCTGTGTCCCGTCTTTCATGCTTTTGGCTTGATTACATTGATAATTCTGTTTCCTGTTAACATAGTTTTTGAGAAAATATATTCCATTTGTTTGTGTGTTGTGCCATACTTACTTGCTTCATTCTCCCTGCGATCCACTTCATCATACAAATCCATAACTAATTCTTCAAATATTTTATTCGGTACCAATTGCAAACGGCCACGGGCAATTTTCAGTTGTTCACTAATCTCACTGGTATGGGCATCGGGTATGACCAAATGACGGCCGGACTAAATGGGAAAATCGGTTAGATAAAATTCTACACAATTAGAAAACTTCAACACTTACCGCATGATCCGGTTTCTTGCCACCCAAAAACATTATAATACGATCGGTGACCTCATACATGGCATCCAACAAACGCTCAGCAATCAAGGTGTGATTATTGGCTTTGGCAACTTCAAGTGGTGTCAGGCCATTGCCATCGACCACATTTATTTCGGCGCCATGCACAATCAACAATTCAATTTGTGAAGCCTGGCCAAATTTCGCCGCCACATGCAGGGGAGTGGAGCGTTTCTCTTCGTGAAAGAAATTCGGATCGGCACCTTGTACCAAAAGACGTAAGGATGTCTCCAAATTACTGGTACGCACACTAGCGTGCAGTTGTTTGCTTAATTCATGTTCCAAACCCGCCGAGCCGGTAATATCATCATCCGTATCTTGTAAATTAGGCTTGAGAACAAATGCCAATTGGACATGCTTTGCCTTGATAAAATCCGATTTATTCGGATGCAAAGGATCTTTGGGTGTGGGTTTACGTAAGCGATGTTGTCCCTTATTACCCGATGTTGTGCTATCGAGCAAATGATGTTCCCAAACACAATTGGCACCATGGGCATTAAGGGAATTGACAAAATTCAGCACTGAAGGTTCCCAGCTGCCCTGACGCAACGACTTGACAATCGATATGTGGCGTCCCAAACTGCGGTGAATGGAACAGCAATCGGAACAGAGAAGTATGCCACGATTTATGGAGGCCCATGAGGGATCTGAAAAGAAGGATGTTTTAAGATTATTTAGAGAGGAAATGTGAGATTTTTGTAAGTTTAAAATGTTAGCTCCAGCTGCTGTGGTTAGGATAAAACGACCTTCCTTCGGTAAACATTTCGGAGTTTTCCGACAGCTGGAGCTAAACTCAATTTGTTCCAAATATTCTATGATATCCACTATTATTGTTTGGTCCTTGGACAAAAATTCCTAAAAGCTTTAAAAGTAATTTGAAAGTGCTGCCTTAATTTATTCCTTTATAAACTTTAAGACTATCCCGGATTCGGGATAGGCCTTAAAATCTACGTTTTATCCTTTTTAATAAAAAGAAGTATTTGCGAATTTTTGCCTTTGAATGTTTACGGCCTATTTGGTATCCATTTCATAGCTTTACAATCAACTGGTTGCTCGCCTTGGACCAAAAAGTAACTTAACTCTTCTTTTCATATTAATAAGAAACTGTCCTAGATGTCGTCAGAGTACGAATTATAAGATTAGACAAGTCTTGTCACGATAAATATTTAACCCCTCTCATATCATAGGTCAAATTCTGCTCTAAAACACACGATAACTAGTTATTATTAATTTATTTAATTATGCCAATTTTCGATTCTTACCCGATGCTCCACAATCGCCACAGACTTCGGTTGGTATACGAGTTTTGCTGCGAGACATCTTGGCGTTTTTCAAACTAGCGTTACTTCCACTGGCACCTCCTGCACTGCTGCTGCCACCAATACTACTGCTGCTACGCTGCTGTTTATCCGATCGCAGTCCCTTGACGGCAACACCACCGCCAGATAGGCTCTCACTTCCGGTGGGGTGGTGATGGTTGTTGGTGCTATTGTTTGTGTTAGCTATAAATAGCTTTTTATGAGCTTCCACAACTGAGCTGGCGAAACACATTCATGCCCCTTTGTATCTGTTCTGTTTTACATAAAAAAATTATGTTGCACCAAGCTGTTGCTCGCTCTAACACTAGCAAGGAGGGGGTGCGGTTGGTTGTTTGCGTTTTGGATGAGGGTGTAGCTGGTGATGGCCTTATTAGACAATAGAAAAACAACACCACTTTGAATCCCACCCACCCAGTGACTCCTCCTTTTAAAGACTAAATGGATTTGCCAACGTTGGAAGCAGCTAATGCCGTGTATTGCCGCTTTAAAACCCCGTCAATTGTTTAATATTTAATCAAAAAAACTTTTATTTATTTTTTCAACCAGACAGCTAAGCGAAAAGATTCCGAATGCAGAAACAAAGCGTAAATCCGTGATGAAGATTAAAATCAAAGCAAAAACAGCGATTGTTAAAAGGGGTCTATAAGATCGAAAAGTTCCATCTAAAGGGGTTTTATAGATACAATTTTCTACCAATCAAACAGCTGTTTATTTAGTGGTGGAAGGAGTAATTAATATTATAAAAATTATACAAGACTATGGCCCAATGGACGCATTATCCGTTATTTTCGTTATTTCGTGTTACGCGTCTTCGAAAGAGTCTCTTCGTCGCTCACTTTTGCATATTTCGTTATTTAGGGATGTTTAATCTGACTTTTGCCAAACAACATAGAGGGATCGTTAGATCGACTTAATACCGTAATTTAGTAACGAAACTTTGTAGTTGTAATTCATTTAATGAAAACATTATTTTATTTTGAAATTATTAATATTATTATTTTGCTAGTTTTTATCAAAATAGCTACACATAAAAGTTTTGTTTTAAATATTATAAAAAATGAATAAAAAGACTGATAAGGGCCCAGCTAATACCACAATTACTCATGACGCAGATGACGTGTCGTAGCTTGTATATCCAGACCGTAGAAATTGCCCAATCACAATAACAACAAAAATGGTGTTTCAGTTCGAAATTGTGTTTTAACGCGTCAAATTTTGCAAAACGTATAAAAAATTAATTAAAAAAGAAATATTATAGGTTTAAATCAATCTGCCTGATATTTATCGTTCAATAATCGTTGTGTATTTGTGAATATAAGCATTTTTAACATATCTAAATACATTTCCGCGGTAATGACATTGAATTTATGTTGGTCATGGGCCGTTGTTGGGTTAACAAGAAACGCTTTTTGGTGTCAAATTCCCTCGTCAAATTACAAGGAGAGGGGTCGTACAAGGATGCTCCAACGACCTTTGGAACTAATATAATATTTTACAATTAAGAAATGTTCTTTGTCCTATGCTTGCAGATTTCCCGAAGAGACTAGCTAGGAGTGGGTATGTAAAAATAGGCTTCAATGTTTTTTGGAACTATTAAATTTTACCTTTTTAGACAAACCAAAATACCACAAGTGGCTTGACTTACGTTATGGAAATATTTTGTGTGCCCATAACTGGGAAAACATTCACTTTTTGTAAAATCTTGTGGCAAGCCAAACAAAGATGCGGTTTACCAGCTTTTGATCAATGCAAAACTTTTAATAAACAGGAATTCTGTTAAGGAGCAGGTCTTGGGTAAGTCTAAACTTTTTTCACGTATGATATATATTATGATATATTGAAATAACAACTGAAATGTGCTTAGAACTAGGTTGAGGCCCGTTCCACCATCAGTTTGAAAATTTGGGTTTCCCGGGCCTCAAGAAAAACTCAATGCTTCACCGCCACGAATACTTTTACTTTTAAGAACAGGTTTTGACGAGAAGATGTCTTTGTTATGACGTCTGTTTGAGGTAACTTATATCGTTAGAATCAGCAGCTCAAGTTCTTTACAATGAAAACCATTTGGTTTTTGTCGGTCTTGATAACAATTAAAAGAATTCAAGGATACCTACGGAACTTGAAGGGTTAAATCACTTTAGTAAAAATTTCAAAATTATGCGCGAGGATTTTGGAATAAACTTTTATATTTTGGATTCTCTTCAAATGGTATTAAAAGTCTACTTATTATTTTTAATTATATTTTTAGAACTTCCAAATGTGTTCTTTTGTGCAAGGCTTTATTTAGGTCTTCTTTAAAAGACACCGTTTATACCTTATGCTGCCTCCAAGATGATGCTCTAGAAACCTTTTTTTGTCTCAGCTTTTAAGAGGTGTTGACAGCTTTTAAGAGGTTTTCTAACAACAAAAACCTTTTAAGTTTTTCTTGTTTTATAAAGAAAAGTCATCCTGACCATCATCTATTGTTGGAACACCAAAAGAACGTCTTTCACGCATAGAGAGCATATTCTATATTAAAAAATATGTTATATAAAGAAAAGTCATCTTGAACATAATCTATTCTTGAGACGAGCATATTCTTTATTAAAAATATATAAAGAAAGCTCATAGAGAGTCGTCTTATTCATATGAGACTCCAAATAAATGCCCCATTTTAAGGAGAACTTTGTGTATAAAAGATCTATGAAAAATTTTCCATGGCTAAAATATTTCCTAGTTTTAAAATTGTGCAAAAGACGTTAAGAAGGACCTTTTGTGCATAAAATAGATGAAACGATCCTTTTGATAATCTCTATTTGTAGAAGATCTTTAAAATCATCTGTGTATTCATAAGAGTCGTTTAGGAGCCTGGATATGGCCTCTTCATTTACTTTTAAATATACGACATTCCTAAATAAGAAAATAATTCAATGAAGTCAATGAAGACTTACGTTTCATATATACCTGGAGGTATTTTGAATTCCTTTAAGAGATCCTCTCTTTATAGGATCTTATAAATATGGTCCTTAAGTGTGCTAAAAACAATACAGAACTTATTTTTAGTAGGACACAGGACATATATATACTGGGCACATCCAAACGGGGTACATTCAAACATAGAACGTCTTTTTTATACACCTTCTAAACATTGAACACCACCTAAAGATCTTTCTCTTATTAAAAGGTAATTTTAAAGCCAAAGAAGACTTTAATTTCGGATATATGCAGAGACTGCTTTGTACTTCGAAGAATTTCTTTAAGAGCTTCTGTATTCATAGAATATTTACGAGTTGCTTGAGCGTGCTGAAACCTTTGAAATTAACTTGAATGTAGGACTTATTTTCTAGTTTTTGTATTAATACCCCTTTTTATATTGCCAACCGAACGTTGTGTAAAATACCTTTTATGTAAAATAAATTTTAGAGCTCCTTCATGTATAGAGCACATTTCAAGGTCACCAAGGCTACCACCTTAACTCTACTGCTTCGTAAATGAAATACCAGCAATTCATTTCAGCAGTTGTTTAGCAAAAAGGCTAAAAGTATGCAGTGAATTGGATTATATGTGAGTTCAAGCTTGTTGTCATAAGTTTTCTTTAACAAGAAATTATGAAAAAAGAAATGCTATTCAGCACCCAACATACCAAAATGGCTTGCGAATAATATTACAATAAGCTTGAGAAAATCTTGAGAAAACATTGAAAAATTTTTGTGTAACAATTATAGAATAATCGAAATGGAACCCTTATTTATAAGCTTATACTTGAAATTGTAGAATAAGCTTACGAAAATAATATTATATTAAGCTTATTTTTTTAGTCACTGCCTCATGTGGCCTTGAGCTTTCTTCTCCCTTATTTGAGCATTTGGATCTCTTCCACTAAGACTACACATCTATTGAATTCCTGCAACTTATTTGATGCCTTTATTCTGAAATGGGATTGAAATAATATATATCACACATTCCCGGATTTATTATTCATCCATACCTTAAGAATTCGGTCCAGAAATAAGTCCTAAATTCGGGTGATTTTGCTTTTTACAAAATATTATTCTCAAGCTGTATTGAATTTTTGGTATGTTGGGAATTTTTAATGACTGTTGGTATTATTATTTCGTTAAGAATTTCTCTAAACAATCGTCGTCTTAAAAACAATTCAATAGTTTTAGTTTATTGATTTATCGGCCCTTGAAAATTGGAAATTACCATGTTTTGTATGTTTTTATTTTGACAAAATTTAAAACTTTATTGACAATTAATATTATAGCTTTATATTTTACATAATATTGTTCTTTTATTTTAATTAAGCAATAACAAGAGTTGTTTGTAAGCTCTTATCAAATAATTTTGTTTGAAAAACTGAACATCAGTCTACAATAGTTGTTTAATTCTTTTGCGTTTTAATGTGACTGCCAGAAAACAAGGCGAATCAGCGCTAATTGCAAAAGTAGAGTCGGGACTTGGATATGATCATAGCTGTGAGCTGTGAGAGTATTTTTTTTTTAATATTTAGCTTTAAACATTTAAAACAAACATTTATGTACGACTTTTTGAAATACTGAAAAAAGTTTTTATTAAAAAAAAAAAAAAAACAAATACACAGAATATGAATATGTATATTTGAATTGATTTGTTGGTAATTTGCAGGAAAATCCTTCAACCCCACACACACACAAATGCTATTATTTGGAAAAGGTGCCCACAAATGCATCACATGTTGGACAGAAATGATCCAAATTGGTACACGAATCCAAACAATAGGGAATGCAACAGCAGCCACTTTTCAAAAAAGAAACAACAAAAACTTTTTTGTAATAACTCAACAAAGAAATGTTAGGCCCAAGTCCACTTACCAACATGTCAGTAGAATGCAAGCCAAATGAGTTTTCAATGTTGCTCTACGCTTAGTACGGGTCTTGTTGCGGCATCGACACTGAGGACAAGTCATTATTACGGGTTTTGGCCCAATGGGCTGATTGGTTTCCGTTCCAATGTTATGAATGTTAATCATTGGTGGTGACACTTGCGCTACACTCGATGTGGTGGGAGCATGGCCATGGGTTGGCACTGGATCGAATGTTTCCATTTCGGGACACATGTTATTGAGTTTATTATAAGGTGGCGGGTATTGTGCCGATTTTAGGGTAGACTCCATTTTTTTCCCATACTAAAGAAAATTATAATTATAATTTATTTCAAGAACATTTCCATGGGACCATGTGTACATAATGCTTAGTAAGCAGACTTTTTTTAATCCCCAAACACTTTGTATTTAAAGTTGTAGAAAGAGAGAGAGAGAGAGACAGAGAGTACATACTACTTAAATATGTTTATATAACACTGTTGAGATTATTTCCACTGCGCCTGAATATTACGATACGATTTCGTTCACAGTTAGACTGCAACTAAACGCTTTGTGTTTTGCGATGAAATGCGAATCCTTCTCCCATGCCAAGTACAAACTACATATTTATGTTTAATTGGGCGTCAAAGTTATTAGCATTTCTTGAGACATTCTTCGTTTTATTATTAAATACACACAGAAAATAAATTAGGTTGTGTCATTGCGGCTACAAAGACTATATATAAATTGACGATTTTGGTTTTGAATTGTATGTCTTTTTCTGAGAATGAAATCCGTTTCATGATGATGATCGAGCTCTGTCCACTCCCATTAGTATCGCCTATTAAAAATCCATATTAGAAAAAATATGTAAATTTCTTACAAATTTCTTAATGTGAAGGGTATATATATAGTACAGACCAAGGTTATGTGCGAAAATGGGAAAAATTGGTGGTCTTCTTCACGTAACAAACCAACACCTCGAAATGTACACATTGGGAGCATAAATAATTCTCATAATTTTCTTCAAACTTCACACATTCCAATATTGTTTCAAATTTCTGTTTCAAATTTGCAGTTCGTCACGGGTGACGGAACATTTACCATGCAGGTCCAGGTGTTCGTATAGCCCCATATAACGGTACCTCCCTAAATTCGGTATTTCGATAATTTGTGGGATATCATTTACCGGAATTGTTTCAAATTTCGTATTTGAACTTTTATAGAACTTAGATTAAGTTCGGAATTGGCCAATATCGTCCCATAGTTTTGGTAACAAAAAAAACTTAAAATTCTCATAGAAAATTATTTACCTCACAGAAAAAGAAATTATCATCAAATTTTGGGCAAACTTTGCAAGTCTTAATATTTCTATCAGTCCTGGGACAGGTGCAAAAATGGACAATATCGACCCACTCCAACAAGGTCAATATTTGGAATAATTATTATTCTTATAAAATGTGAAATAAGTGTCCGATTGTCCGCAAACTACTCACATTCCAAAATTTCTACTTACACAAGATCTTGTGTGAATATAGTATGTATCGGCCCACTTCTTTTGGTACCTCCTCCCAAAGGGTCAAATTTTTGAATTTGATTATCTTCCAATTACTCACAGTCCAATATTTCTTGCAACACAAGATCTGCTGTGAAGATGGGATATGTCGGTCCACTTCTTCGGGTTCTTTCTCCACGAATGATAAGTAATTTGAATGATTATAACTCTTATATAATTTTGAAATAAGGGTCCGATTCTCCTTCCGACGGGTCAAAATTTTGAATAATTATATCTCTTGTCAAACTCCAATACTTATATCAACAAAAGATCTGCCGCAAAGGCAACAATATTTTGAATAATTATAACTCTTATAAAATGTAAAATAAGGTCCGATTTTCCTCAAAGTTCTGACATCTGGATAATTGTGCCAACTAAAGTTCTGGTTTTGCCAACTAAAGTTCTTTCATAAAAAACGAAATAAGGATCCGATTTCTTTCGAGCTTGTTACACCCCAGTGTTTCTATAAATAAAAGATTTGCCGTGAAGATAGTTGTTATCGGCCCACTCCTTTTGGTATCTCCCCCAAAAAGGGTCAACATTTTGAAGAAAAAAACAACATTTGAAATAAACATTCGATTCTCTCCAAGTTACACACGTCCCAAAATTTTTACAATAATTCACAATTTTGGTAGCAAATCTTCGAGTAATCCTCAAATTTTGTGTGTCTTGATATTTCCATGGATCATATATTTAATGCAAGTATGCGATATGTCGGTGTACTCCTTCTGTTACCACCAACCTACCTCCCACAAAAGGTTAAAATGTTGAAAAAGGATCTTTGAAAATCCCTAAGTAGCTCTTCTAGGTATGTGTAGACGACCATTAAAACAAATCCAACGCACAAATTACTCTCAGTGCCATGGTGCCATATGATGAGATGAGATTCTTTTGAGTCACGTCCACTGAACTATAAACACGTTGCACCAACAACAACGAGGATATTATAGGGCACATTTTGCAAATGTTTTGTTTATATTCATTTGTTTTGTTTATTATTTGTATACCCTCCACCATTCTATGGAAAAATTTTGCATTTGTGTGTGTTTTGCCAGTCGGCATGTTAAGTTCGTAAATGGACCATTTCAGCTTTCGTTTTCGTATACCTCCCCATATTTGGTATTTTGATGATTTTAGTGACATTATTCACCGCACATGTTTCAAATTTGGTATTTGAAGTTGATACTGAATATTACAGCCTATGACAGAAAATTGTCTGTGCAGGTCCACGTCTTCGTATAGCCCCATATAACGGTACCTCCCTATTTTCGGTATTTTGATGATTTTAGCGACATACCGGAATTGTTTGAAATTTGGTATTTGAAGTTCGTAATGGATATTACAGCCTATGACAGAAAATTGTCTGTGCAGGTCCACGTCTTCGTATAGCCCCCATATAACGGTACCTCCCGATATTCGGTATTTTGATGATTTTAGCGACATTTTTACTGGAATTGTTTGAAATTTGGTATTTGAAGTTCGTAATGGATACTACAGCTTATGACAGAAAATGTTCTGTGCAGGTCCAGGACTTCGTATAGGCTCCATATAACGGTACCTCCCGATATTCGCTATTTTGATGATTTTAGCGACATTTTTTACCGGAATTGTTTGAAATTTGGTATTTGAAGTTCGTAATGGATACTACAGCTTATGACAGAAAATTTTCTGTGCAGGTCCAGGACTTCGTATAGGCTCCATATAACGGTACCTCCCGATATTCGCTATTTTGATGATTTTAGCGACATTTTTTACCGGAATTGTTTGAAATTTGGTATTTGAAGTTCGTAATGGATACTACAGCTTATGACAGAAAATTTTCTGTGCAGGTCCAGGACTTCGTATAGGCTCCATATAACGGTACCTCCCGATATTCGCTATTTTGATGATTTTAGCGACATATATAACGGAATTGTTTCAAATTTGGTATTTGAAGTTGGTAATGGATATTACAGCCTATGATAGAAAGTTTTCTGTGTAGGTTCTGGACTTCGTATAGGCTCCATATAACGGTACCTCCCGATATTCGGTATTTTGATGATTTTAGCGACATTTTTTTTACCGGAATTGTTTGAAATTTGGTATTTGAAGTTGGTAATGGATATTACAGCCTATGACAGAAAATTGTCTGTGCAGGTCTACGTCTTCGTATAGCCCCCATATAACGGTACCTCCTTATTTTCGGCCCGACTTCTGACCTTTCCTTATTGGTGTATTTTTGTTTTGACAAATTGAAAAATTTAAAGGCATTTTAAACATTTATCGACTATTTATGTAATAGCTTTATAGTTTACATAATATTGCAATAACAAGAGTAGTTTGTAAGTCTTTATCAAATAAAGTTTTTATCAAAAAAAAAAAAAAAAAAAAAAAAAGACGAATCAGCGCTAATTGCAAAGTAGAGTTGGAACTTGGATATGATCTTAGCAATGAGCTGTGAGAGTATTTTGTTTTGAAGTGAAGCTTTAAGAATTTTACAATAAATGCTGATAAGACATTTAACAAAGACGTGTGACACAACGAATTTAAGTACGACTTTTTGAAATAATATAAAAAGAGATTATTTATTAAAAAAATGCAAAAACATAAAATATGAATACATATGAATATATAAATTATAATTGATTTGTGGGGCCTTTGCAGGAAAATGCTTCAACCACATACATACACATGCCATTAGGTGGAAAACGTGCCCACAAATGCATCACATGTTGGACAGAAATGATCCAAATTGGTACACGAATCCAAACAATAGGGTATACAACAGCAGCCACTTTTCAGAAGAATAAAGGAAAGAAACAACAAATATTTTTTTTGAATAACTCAACAAAGAAATATTTCGTCTCATCCGACTTACCAGCATGTCAGCAGAATACAAGCCAAATGAGTTTTCAATGTTGCTCTACGCTTAGTACGGGTCTTGTTGCGGCATCGACACTGGGGACAAGTCATTATTACGGGTTTTGGCCCAATGGGCTGATTGGTTTCCGTTCCAATGTTATGAATGTTGATCATAGGTGGTGACACTTGCGCTACACTCGATGTGGTGGGTGCTGCTGCCACCGGAGCATGGCCATGGGTTGGCACTGGATCGAATGTATCCATTTCCGGATAGATGTTATTGAGTTTATTATAAGGTGGTGGGGATGGTGCCGATTTTAGGGATGAATCCATTTTTCCCAATCTTAAAAATATAATATTTTAAAATAATTTTTTTTTGGAATGTATTTCAAGAATATTTCCCTGGCACCATGTGCACATAATGTTTAGTAAGCAGATTTTTTAAGCAACTTTGCATTTGTGAGTTTTTAGGATATGAGAGAGCGAGAACGAGAGAGATCGAACATACCACTTAAATATGTTTTTGTAACACTACTGAGATTATTTCCACTGCGTCTGAATAGTCCGATCCGATCTGATTCCGTTCACAGTTAGGCTGCAACTAAAAGCTTTGACTTTTGCAATGAAATGCGAATCCTTCTCACATGCCAAGTACACATCAGACTTATTTATGTTTACTTGGGCGTCGAAGTTATCAGCATTGCAGGAATTGAGATATTCATTGTTTTTCGTACTAATTAAATACACCGAGAAAATAAAGAACAGAAAAATTTATAAGAAACCATTCAGAAGTTTGGGACATTAAAAATAACTAAGAACTTTTCCATAATGGCCTTGAAATGTATGCCTTTTTGGATGAAATCCGTTTCATGGTCGCTTTTCTGTCTGAGCAACTGAGCATTGAACGAGTTCGATGAGGGGCATATGCATAAGAGGTTTTTAGACATCTTCTAGACAAGAGCCTATGTTGGAGGTTCCTTTTAGTAGACCTCTCGAAATAGAAGACCTTGGACCTGGGCCTTTTTTTAGACTAGAAGACCTCTCTTACATTTAAAGGACCATTTTGGCAAAGAAGACACTCTAGAGATCTTCTAAACATAGAAGACCATACAAAATTCTTCTAAACATAAAAAAATGCCCCCTAGAGATTGAAAGAACTTTGGGAGTTCTTCTGGGCTTCTTCTGTAAGTTCGGCTGGGCCGAACTTTGAATACCCTCCATCATTTAGAACGAATTTGGCAATTCTCAAAAAAAAATTCTTTAAAACTTCTGTTAAAATCTTAAAACTACCGAATGTAGCCGTTATATTAGGGTCACGACAACGTGGACCTGCATAGGCAACTCTTGTCATAAGCTATTACAATATTCAAATGCGAAAATCGATGACCAATGTAGCTAAAATCATCAAAATACCGAATATCGGGGGGTGCCGTTATATGGGGCTATACGAAGGCATGGAGCTGAACAGACAATTTTTTTTGTCTTGGGCCGTAGAATCCATGACGAACTTCAAATACCAAATTTGAAAAAATTCCGGTGAAAAATGTCGCTGAAACCATCAAAATACCGAATATCGGGAGGTATCGTTATATGGGGGGCTATATGAAGACGTGGTCCTGCACGGACAACTTTTGGTCATAGGCTGTAGTATCCATTACGAACTTCAAATACCAAATTTGAAACATTTCCGGTGAATTATGTCGCTAAAATCATCAAAATGCCAGATATCAGGAGGTACCGTTATATGGAGATGTGGACCTGCACAGACAATTTTCTGTCATAGGCTGTAGTATCCAGTATGAGCTTCAAATACCAAATTTGAAACATTTCCGGAGAATAATGCCGCTTAAATCACCAAAATACCGAAAATAGGAAGGAACCATCATATGGGAGCTATACCAAGACGTGGACCTACATGACCCATTTTCAATACCAAAAATTCTGCAAACATAACATACATTTGAGTCAAATTTTATCAACCTACTTCCTTTCGTTCGGAAGCTATAGTGATTTCCACAGACGGATAGACGGACGGACGTCGCTAAATCGACACAGAATGTTATGCTGATCAAGAATATATATTCTCTGCGGGGTCTAAAATGCATATTTCGAGGTGTTACAAACGGAATGACAAACTTAATATACCCTCAATACTACGGTGGAGGGTATAAAAAACGACATTGGCGTCATCTGCATATGAAAGATCCTCGGAATAAAACATGTTGAAAAGGTTGTATTTACATAAGAGGCTTATACAGACCTTCTAGACAAAGAAGGAGGTTCCATAGGTATATATTATAGCTTTTATTGGTCCTCTAGGTATGAAAGTCGTTCTGAACCTGTTTTAGACATAGAAAACATTTTAAGGTATCTTTTTGACATAGAAACCCCTCTGGAGATCTTGTAGGCTTGGAAGGCTCTCTAGAGTTTTTCCAGCCAAAAAATGAATCCCTGGGACTTCAACACACAGAAGATTTTCTAAATGTCTTGTAAGAATAGTATTCCCGGAAAAAGTTATATATACATTAGCGTTCTCCAGGGGGATTCTGGACAAAAAATATATTTTGGAGCTTTCCAAGGTATATAATTCCGTGTCATCTAAGTATAGAAGACGTTTTGGACATTTTTAGACATAGAGGACCTTCAATGATCCTCTTCAACGATAGTGGATATTTGTAAGGAATGCATTCGATATGCAGAAGACCTACAAGAAAATTTTCATCGAACTTTCAAAAAAAAAAAAAAAAAAATGTTTAAGAAAAAGTCAAAAGTCGGGCGGGACTGAATATATGATACCCTACACCAATATGCCTATTTAGTAGAGCTCCCGTAACAAAATAGTTTATATTGGAAATTTGTGGGAAGCAGATCATACCACCTATGATATGATATGACTTTGATAAGGATTATATCAAAAAATATTTATTGGAGCAATAGACATACCGGACCATGTTTGAGCAAATGGTAAAATTCTATTGAATCTATTAAATTTGGGCTGGTATTACATATATGGTGAGAAATAACCCTGAAATCGGATGAAGATGTATATCGAAGCTATGTAGACATCTGAAACGATCTCGATAAAATTATATGCATGGGAGCTATAGCTATATCTGAACCGATTTTTATAGAAATGCTTGTTTGGAAGTGCCAAAATTCTGTCTATTCGGAATGACATTAGCCATTTGGTGCACCAAAAAACATAAAATCGGATAAAGTTATATATGGGAGCCATATCCAAATCCGAAGCGATCTTGATAAATTTTGGCAGATGTATTTCTGAACTGTATCCGATATCCGGTATCAAATATCATTCTTGTGGAGTGCATATGACGCATGTGAGGGACTTAAAACCCCAAATCGGATGAAACATATATATGGGAGCTATAGCTATATCTGAACCGATTTTATCCAAATTTTATGTACTTGCTTCTAGATTGAATTCGGTCGGATGTGCCACAATTTAGGTCATTTGGACTGATATTGGTCATTTGGTGCCCAAAAAACATAAAATCGGATAAAGTTATATTTGGGAGCTATGTCTAAATCCGAACCTATCTTGACAAAATTTTGGGGAATTATTTCTGAGCTGGATCTGATATCTGGTACAAAAGATAATTGTTGTGGTGTGCATATTACGCATGGGAGGGACTTAAAACCCCAAATCGGATGAAACATATATATATGGGAGCTATAGCTATATCTGAACCGATTTTATCCAAATTTTATGTACTTGATTCTAGATGGAATTCGGTCGGATGTGCCACAATTCAGGTCATTTGGACTGATATTGGTCATTTGGTGCCCAAAAAACATAAAATCGGATCAAGTTATATTTGGGAGCTATATCCAAATCCGAACCTATCTTGACAAAATTTTGGGGAATTATTTCTGAGCTGGATCTGATATCTGATACAAAAGATAATTGTTGTGGAGTGCATATTACGCATGTGAGGGACTTAAAACCCCAAATCGGATGAAACACATATATGGGAACTATAGCTATATCTGAACCGATTTTATCCAAATTTTATGTACTTGCTTCTAGATTGAAATCGGTCGGATGTGCCACAATTCAGGTCATTTGGACTGATATTGGTCATTTGGTGCCCAAAAAACATAAAATCGGATCAAGTTATATTTGGGAGCTATATCCAAATCCGAACCTATCTTGACAAAATTTTGGGGAATTATTTCTGAGCTGGATCTGATATCTGGTACAAAAGATAATTGTTGTGGAGTGCATATTACGCATGTGAGTGTCTTAAAACCCCAAATCGGATGAAACATATATATATGGGATCTATCGCTATATCTGAACCGATTGAAATTTCATGTATTTGCTTCTAGATTGAATTCGGTCGGATGTGCCACAATTCAGGTCATTTGTACTGATATTTATTTGGTGTACAATTAACCCAAAATCGATTGAAGATATATGGGAGCTATATCTAAATTTGAACCGATTCCAATTTCACAGACACCAATTTCCATAGAGTTTGTCCTTGGGCCAAACAAATATTGCTTGGAAAATTTTATTTCATTCGGATAATAAATGCTACCTGCATTTTATTCACAAAAATATATGGACGGACAGACGGACTGACTGACATACATAAATCGACTCAGAAAGTGATTCTATGAAGACCCTCAAAAGTAACTATGGGTCTGTCTCGCTTCCTTCTCGATGTTACAAGCAAATTCACAAAATCATAATACCCACTATATGGTGTAGGGTATAAAAACCGATGTATATAAGTTCTTCGAAAATCCTTTAGGAGGTCTAATGGGATGTGTAAAAACCATGTAGCGTGAATTACTCTCAGTGTCATGTGCCATATGCATAGCATACGTTTCATTGCCGCCCCCCACACTCCATTGGCGGGGATGAGAGTGTCACGTTCACTGTGCTATAAACAGAACGTATTTTGTTAAGCGGCGCGCTTTCTCAAACGACTTACTGCAGCGAGGATACTAGAAGGCAAATTTTGCAATGTTTTGTTTATTATTTTTGTTTTGTTTATTATTTTGGTTTTTATTATTCTCTATGACGCCATGATGGAATTACGTGACTAGGGAATGTCTCAAAATTATGCAAAACAGTGCGCAAATAAGAAACACTTGCAAATATGAGAAACCGTTACAATTATGTAGCCACTCACTCACATACATACATTCATATATACATTAATACATACAAAGTCGTCCACATGTTAATCTGTGAAATGCCCAGAGAGAGAGAGAGAGAGAGAGAGGGAGAGAGAGAGAGAGAGAGAGAAGGAGAGAATATACAACAATAACTTTAAAGAGTGTCCTATACAATGACGTTTTCATAGAGATTGGAGACCATTTAAGGGTCGGCGGCAAGTATATAATGCCCTTAATAATTTCCTTCCTAAAAAAATGCCTTCCAAGAACATAAATTTAACTACGCCATTAATTAATGGCATTTCCCCTTGCCATTAACAAGTGTTGCAACTTCCGAGAAGATCTGTCTCTCTTTACTCTGTTTCATATAATAAAAAAAACCCCCACCATCATCTTCCCAAATACAAATCGCAAACACAGCTCTTTTCAGGAACAAACAAACATATACATTTTGTAGGACAATAAAATTATGAAATTCAAGTGTCAAATCACACAAACCATTTGTATTTTTGTAAAT